TGGTCTGCTGCTGAGGCAGACTGTTTAAAAAGGTTTTAAATGGGTGTAGCCTAAGGGTCATAAAGAAGTGGCTGGGGCTAGTGATGTTAATGTGAGAAATTAGCATGTAACTGTAGAAAATAAGGGAAGCGGCCTCCTAGACGAGGGCACGAAAGTGGCTATGTTAATGTGAGAGATTAGCATGATGTTAATGTGAGGGATTAGAGGGCACAGAAGTGGCTATGTTAATGTGAGATCGAAGAATGGCCTCCACGAGGCACGAGAGTGTGCAATCCAAAGGAAATGTGAGCATGAGAGTGCAATCCAAAGGAAATGTGAGAGATCTCAGAGAGAGGCACAGAGAGAGAGAGAGAGGCAGAGTCGGAAATAACAGCTGACATAGGCAGGTTGGATGGAAACATCACAGTTAAGACTACCTGCTTAATAACGTCCTTCCAATTGTAAAGGAGAGCCGACACAAGATTGCAGGGGTCTCGTCCTTTAATCCTTTTCTTCCATCCACACCTGTCCCCAGCCGTCCCAATATCGTTCCCGCCAAAGGCCCCCTCTTCCCGCCCGTTCTCTCCTTATATCTCCTCGATCACCCCTCCACTAACCACTAACCCACCTATTGGTGGGAATCCTTCCCCTGACACCCCTACATCACCCCCACCCCCCCCCCCCCCCCCGCCGGAGAAAAAATAACCGTCTTCGGTTCTGCCTCCCCCATGGACCATTTAAGTCTCCCCATGCCTCCCACCACTGACAGTGACGACAGCCCTTACCCCCCCCCCCCCCCACAACCATACAATGCAATATAACACAACGAAATCAATTGCGCGGCCTGCCCAGGTCTCCAGCCAGCATCCCGTAACAGCCCGGACCATCCACAGGCAGCAGATGACCGTGGCGGCCCCCTCCTTCGAAGGCCCTCTCGTCGCGGTCCCTGGTTCGGTGGTGCCGATGTCGCCTTGCCTGGCGCCGCTGTCTCTCCGGCCCCCGCTCGTGCCGCCGCTCCGTCAGGCCTCACATGGGGTGCTGTAGGTGACAAGGGAACACAGGGCACCGAACCCCCTGCCGTTGGGCGTGTGGTGGTCGGCGACCTTGGCCTGGGTAGGGATGATGATGATGTTGGCAGTGATGTTGGTGGTGATGTTGGTGAAGATGGCGGTGGAGAGATGTATGGCTTAAGGCGGGTGGGGTGTACAAACCATCGTCGCTTACCCAGTTGGACCTGGACACACTGCGGTCGGAGTGCTTTAATGACCTCGACCGGCCCTTTCCAGGGTCGGTGCAGCTTTCGTGAGAGGCCAACCGGCACCTGAGGACAGTGTAGCCATGCCTGGTCCCCGACTTTAAAGGGCTTGGCTGTCACTGTCCTCTCCCGTATCCGTACATTACTCTCTTGGCTCGTGGCCGATGCGGCCTCGGCTGCTTGGCGGGCCTCTCTGAAATAAATGAGGGAGGTCTTTAGTGCCTTCGGCCATGCGTCGCCTCTTGCGGGAATGTCCGTCAGCTGCACCTCAATAGGCGGAACGGGATCCCGTCCGTACATCAGGAAAAACGGCGAGAACCCCGTCGCCGCGTGTGGGGCCACCCTGTACGCCGCTAAGACCGATGGAATGTAGAGGTCCCAGTCGGAATGGTTTTCGTCCACCACTTGGGACAGCATGGCCGCTATGGTGCGGTTAAGCCGCTCTACCATCCCATCGATCTGGGAATGATACGGAGATGTTCGGACCTTTTTAGTGCCCAGGATAGAGCAGACGTCCTTCAATAGCTGTGAGGAGAAATTCCTGCCCTGATCCGTGAGCAACCGCTCCGGTGCACCCTTATCAAGGACATAGCCTCCCACGAAGGCATCGGCGATGGTCTGTGCCGTTTGGTCCGGGAGGGCCCACGCCATCGGCCACCTTGTGCAGTACTCGACTCCGACCAACAGGTATTTATTTCCCCGTGGCGTGACCGGCAGTGGTCCCAGGATGTCCAACGCAACCAATTCGTTGACCCTGGTCACCGTGATGGGCTGTAGGGGCGCCCGGCTTACCCGGGGTGGCGGCTTTCACCGCGCACATTCGACGCAGGTAGCGACCCATCGATGCACGTCAGCGGTCATACCTGGCCAAAAGTACCGACCCTGTAATGTGTACAGTGTCTTCCGCCCCGCCAGGTGCAGCAGCTGGCGGCCGTGTACGTCCATAACCAATTGTTGACGCAGCGACTCCGGAACTAACAGGCATCGCCGGCGCCCTGTCGGGTCCCATCGCATGAGGAGGTCCTCCCATACGATGTACTCCTCCCCCCCTGCCTCTGCTGAGGCGCGTAGCGTTCGCAGTGGGGCTTCCTCCAGCTGTAGCCGTCTCCAATCGTCCAAGGTCAGCCCCAGGTCGTGGTCGGTCAGCAGGACCTCACCCTGTGCGCCCTCCGCCGTGCGTACGGGAGCGATGACCGTCCCCTCCGGCCTCGCCTCCTTGCAGCGTGCCCCGCCTGTGGTGCATGCACAAGGGCCCTGGGGCGCCAGTCGGGACAATGCGTCTGTGTTGGCATGTCTGGTCCCTTTGCGATGCACTACTTGGTACCTGTACTCCTGCAGGCGCTCTATCCATCTGGCCAGCTGGCCCGAAGGCTGGTCGATGCGGAGCGAATACTGCAAGGCCGCGTGGTCTGGCAACTCGCCGGCGTCGCAGGTAACCGGTGATGTCACGCCCGCCGGCGACGTCACACCCGCCCGCGAAACCACGCCCGCCCGCGAAACCACGCCCGCCCGCGACGTCACGCCCGCCCGCGACGCCACGCCCGCCCGCGACGCCACGCCCGGCCGCGACGTCACCGCCGGCCGCGACGTCACCCCCGGCCGCGACGTCACTTCCGCCCGCGACGTCACTTCCGCCAGCGACGTCACCTCCGCCCGCGACGTCACCTCCGCCCGCGACGTTACTTCCGCCCGCGACGTCCCTCCCGGCCTCGGCGCGATTCCCGGCGTGGTCCCTAGCCTCGGCGCGATCCCCGACGCGGTCCCCGGCCCCGGCGCGATTCCCGGCGCGGTCCACGGCCCCGGCGCAATTCCCGGCGCGATCCGCGACACCACTTTCGGCCGCGACGTCACTTCCGGATGCAACGTCACGTCCGTTCGCGACACCACTCCGGGTCGCGACGCCACTTCTGGTCGCGACGCGATCACCGGCCCCGGCGCTATCCCCGGCGCGATCCCCTTCCCCCGACCCGGACAATGGGGACCGGGGAACGACACCGACGGCGCCCACCCCGAGGAGACTCCCGGTAAGTTCGCGGCGTCGGAATTGTAATTGCTCGGCCCGACCGAGAGGCCGGGCGGGACGGCGTCACTCGCCTGGATCCTGTCGGCGTTCGGCCCCGGCGGGTTCCAGGTGACGTTGGCGGCCTCCTGCTCCGTGCGGCATCCCCTCGCCACATGCCCCTCTCGACCACAACGGTGGCAGACCCACGGGGCGTTCCGTCGGGGGGGCTCGGCGCGATGTTGTAGAGGCGGCTGCCAGCGACGCGGCGGCTGGTCGCGCCCCTGGTCCCTCTGCTCCGCCAGTCCCCGGATCGCCGCGTACACCTCCCGCAGCGATGGCTCCGTCTCAGACGTCGGGGGTCCATTCCCAGCTGCCCCACAGGCAGCCTGTGGCGACGGTGCAGGTTCGGCGGTTGGTGTCCTCGAGCGCTTCTTCAGCCAGGCGAGGGAAATTTCTCCTCGCCAACACGAGCAGCGCACCCCTGTAGGCTAAAGGGGATTCTTTAGCCCCTCGCTGGCGATCCTGGAACCGTTTAAAGGCTCCTTCCGCCGGGCAATAGATCTCCCCCAAAGCCTCGTAGGCCGCCTGTAGCGTGGACTTGCTGTGCGAGGGAAGGGAGGTGTAAGAGGAGAGTGCTTCTTCGCCCAGAACGGATGGCAGCGCTCGTAGTGCCTCTTCGTCTGTCCACTCGAGAGCGTGGAAGGCAGCCTCGAATCGGCGGACAAACTCCTTCCAATCTTCTTCCTCAGCCACGAACTTGTCGACGGGCCCCAGCCGACGCGGCCGTCCGGCCACCTGCTCTCCGTGTTGGGTGTTTAGCCCTGGGGGTTTTGGCGGGAGCGGCGGCGGCTGACGTGACGAGGTTGGTTGCGGCTCCTGCCCGGCCGGCTGGTCGGCCTCCGGGTCCCGTGGCCTCTCCTCCCGTGGTACGCGTGGGGGTGGGGGTCCCGGTGCTGGCGGGCCCCCCATAGGGAGCCTCTGCAGTAGCTCCTGGAGTGCCCTCTCCACGCGGGCCATGCGGTCCTCCATGGGGTCCTCCAGGCGATCCGGGCCCCCTGCTGCTGCTTCTGATAGCAGGCCCCCTTGTTGCCCGGGATGCTTCCTCTTCCCTTGGCTCTTTTCCGCGGGGATTCTTCTTTGTAGCCATTGTAATCCCACCGCTGCCACCAGATGTAAAGGAGAGCCGACACAAGATTGCAGGGGTCTCGTCCTTTAATCCTTTTCTTCCATCCACACCTGTCCCCAGCCGTCCCAATATCGTTCCCGCCAAAGGCCCCCTCTTCCCGCCCGTTCTCTCCTTATATCTCCTCGATCACCCCTCCCACTAACCCACCTATTGGTGGGAATCCTTCCCCTGACACCCCTACACAATGATTGCTGTTTGTAACCAGTCCTGAGCCTCTCTTAGGCCGCATCAGCCTGAAATATGTATCTGGTGTAGTGGTGGTGTAGTAAGCATTGCTACTGGGGAGACAAAGGCGGCCGGGCGTGGTGCTGGTAACCCATTCCCTCGTCTGTCACAGTGCTGGTCTTCATAGACGCTTCCTTTAACAGCCTGTTAAGGCTACACGGGGAATATTTGTATTTTGTGCAATTTACCGTATTACTCCTTTTCCGTATATAAGCTGGCATCAGGACTCAAGGTAAGTGAAAATGAAACAGATTTTTTTACTATTGATATTACTTTAATTTATGGGTTTTTTTTACGATAGTGTTGATTACGGTGCTATGGGTCCCACAACCCCCACACCCCCTCCCCCCATGGGGAAGTCATGACGCAGAAGTCATTGGAAGCGAGAGACTTAAGCCTGTTCGTTACTCGCTCCCATCTGTGGTGAGGCGCACGTTTGTATTATACGCACTTTTGTACGAATATCATATGTGTTCGATGTATACTATATTTATGTATGTGTGTTGTATGAAATGTTGAACTTCTGTACTCACCGGGTGTAATTTTAATTCACTGGGTGTCGGTACGTTACAAGGCCGCGCCCTGTCAACATCGCCGACTGAGCAGCGTTAGGGGGAGGGGAGCCGCACTCGTCCAGCAGTGGATAGCCTCTAGCAGGATTGTAAAGGGCAAGTGGCCAGCAGCAGCGTTGCCTATAAATGCTGCCGGCACTGGCACACACAAAGGGGTGGGTGGCCTGCACCACGCCCGCCCGGCTGCCTTTGTCTCCCCAGTGGCGATGTTTACTACACACCACTACCACTGCAGCAGTTACTCATTTGAGGATTTTTCGATTTAAAGCTTTCGTGACTGCAGGGATTCATCTTCTTGGTTCTTTCGGTAAGTCACGTAGAATGGAAATAATAAAAATAAAACATAAGAAAATAATTATTTTCTTATGTTTTATTTTTTATTATTTCCATTATTTTCCATTCCAGTGTCTATGTGTGTCTGTGTGTGTCTGCGTGTGTCTGAGTGTGTCTGTATCTGTGTGTGTGTGTCTGTGTCCGTGTGTGTGTCTGCGTGTGTCTCTGTTTGCGTGTGTGTCTCTGTGTCTGCGCGTGTCTGTGTGTGTGTCTGAGTGTGTGCGTGTGTGTCTGCGTGTGTCTGTGTGGGGAGCGGTAGTGTAACGGTTAGCGCACTACGCTATGAACCGTGGCGACTCGTCCAACACCAGTGACGATTATCTGAACCGGTCCTGGGCCTCCCCTAGGTCGACTCAACCTCAAATGAGTACCTGTTGCGATGTGTAAACATCGCCACTGGGGAGATAAAGGCGGTCGGGCGTGGTGCTGGCCACCCACCCCCTCGTGTACCGTTCTGGCCTTCGTCGGTGCTCGTTAACAGCACTTGCCCCTACAGTCTGTTAAGGCTATATGGGGATCATTGTCTTTGTGTGTCTCCGTGTGTGTCTGCATGGGGAGTGGTCGTGTAGCGGTTAGTGCAGGCCTCCTAAAACTGTAGATTCGCTATAAATAGCGCCACATATCTACAAATTAAGCCTGGCTGCGTCTACAAACTAGTGAGTGCGCGGAGTGCGCAGTTGCGTAATCCGCGGCAAGACGTACCGCATCGTTATACCGAGCATTGCAGCTGCAGCAACATGGGAGGGGAGAAAGTGGCGACGCCGTTCCAATCCTCACACACCCTTCAGTATGGGATGGAGCTCATCACGACGGAGGCCAATGGCGCGCAGTCCTGTCCTTGCTTGTTCTGTGTTCACCAAGGCCGTGATGTGGTCGAGGTGACGGGCGACTCGGGCCGCAAGCGCAAGAACCGCACCGACATCGAGTACTTCACGAAGCCGTTCCTGCCGCATCAGTACCGCCACCATCTTGAAGGGCAGCACAAGGAATCGTGGATGCTCTACCAGACGCTGTCGTCCGATGAGAAGAAGAGCTACTTCAACGGCATGGCCAAGCGCACCAACACGCTCCACAACTACATGGACCTGTCGACCGCGTCGATCGACTACGTGATCCAGAACAGCATCATTGAGACAATTATCGGGGACTTGTTCTTTCGCGATGACGACGAGGACAGCGGCGACGACAACGAGGACGCGGCCGCAGCCATCGCCAAGAAGGCCGCCAAGAAGGCCAAGGAGAAGGTCAACGCGATGAAGCTGTTCGTCAAGAAAGTGAACATCGAGACGGGGACGTATACGTACACGGCAACAATGAAGAACGAGATGCGCTTCGAGCTCGCCATGGACCACGTCGGTGTCGGCATGTCGTTCCGTCAAACGGCTGCTGCCATCGATCATGCCAGGATCCGCACCAACACGCCGAAGCTGCAGGGCATGAACGACCTCATCGTCGCACAGTCAGTCCGTGTTCTGGTGGCCGTCGGGCTGCAGATGATCGCCAGGATAATCGACGATCCATCGGTGTGGGCCTTCTCTCTGGCTGGCGACGGCAGTACTCACCGCGGCCAGTCGTTCTTCGACCTGCGCACCCGCGTTTGTTACCGCGGCTTCCTCGTCAATCTGCACCTAATCGCGATCCCTATGTTCGAGCGTCACACTGCTCAGAACATCTTCCGCATGCTCGTCAAGTTCCTCGATGCGCTGTACCCCAACTGGCGCGCCAAGCTGATCGGCTTTTCATCGGACGGCGAGAATACGATGACTGGGCGTCATGGGGGGCTGGTGACGCTCATTGTGAAGGAGGCCGAGAACGACGTCATTCGAATCTGGTGTCCGCCTCATCAGATCGATATTGTGGTCAAGAAATCCGCCGAGTGCGTCTTCGATGGCAGCTGGGTGAAGATCGTGTACGACTTTTCGGTGTACCTCCGCGCCCAAAACAACCTGATCATCAAGATGAAGGTCAAGTGCCCCAGGAAGGCTAACCGATGGGCCAATCTCGGGAACGTGCTCAAGTTCTACAAGCAGTACCGCCGAGCATTGATCGAGTACACTACTGAGAACAACCCCGCGAAGCTGCCCACCGCCGATTGGTGGGTTCTTACCTACGCGCTCGCGCCCGCCATCGACGCCATCAACGTCACTATCGTCCAGCTCCAGAGCCAGTCGCTGCTCATCGCGCAGCAGGAGGAGCATATTCAGTCGCTTATTGGGTCGCTCACCGTTTTGTTCAGTGTTGAGATTGTTGATGGCGTCAACAATCATGATGAGGCGTACGTGTCGTATCATGATCAGTCGATGCGCATTGCGTCTGCCGCGATCATTGCCCACATTGAGGACCAGGGATCGTTTGCGCAGGAGAGCTACGAGGGTCTCAATGAGGTCGACAAGACAAGGATCGTCAAGGAGATCTCGATATATGCGATGACGCTGATCGCGGGTCTCAACGACGTCAAAGCAGAACGTAACGACGCCAATCGAGCTCTCGACCAGGATGCGGCGCCCGTGATGACCGCTCAGCTCGTGAAGATGCGTCCTGGTGTGTTCGTGAAGGACGTGCTGGCAGTGCGTCGCGTGCATGTTACGAAATTCCGGTCAGCTGTGAAGGTCGACATGGTCGAGGAGGAGCATCGCCAACTGGTCAAGCTCTACAAGGAGGACACGATCATTCACAACGCCATCAACAAGCACACCAACACGACGACATTCAACGACGCGTGGGATGTGCTGCCGAGTGGTTTCGACAACCTCCGCGCTTTCAGCGGCGGGTTGGCATCGGTGCTCGCCAACACGACGGCGGTCGAGTCGGACTTCTCGATACTCAAGTGGGAACTCGACGAGTTCCGCAGTTCTATTATGCATCTGTCCCTTGAGGGCATCTTCCAGACAAAGCAGCGTCGCCTCCTGGTGTCGTTGCTTCATTAGCGAGCGTAAATCAATAAAACAATGGGGCTCTATAGATGATCTACATTTATTCTACAAACTAATCCTGGCGGTGTCTACAAACTAAGCTAGTCTGTATAGTTTGTAGATATGCACAGTTTTAGGAGGCCTGGGTTAGTGCGCTGCGCCACGAACCTGGCAACCCGGGTTCGATTCCCGCTCACGGCCAACACCAGTGACGATTATTTGAACCGGTCCTGGGCCTCCCCTAGGTCGACTCAGCCTAAAATGAGTACCTGGTGCAGTGTCTAGTAAATATCGCTACTAGGGAGACAAAGGCGGCCGGGCATGGTGTTGGCCACCCACTCCCTCGTGTGCCATGCCGGCCTTCATAGGTGCTCGCTAACAGCACAGTCTGTTCAGGTTATACTGGGGGATCTTGGTCTGCGTGTGTGTCTTGAGTGTGTACCTGCGTGTGTCTGAGTGTGTGCCTGCCAATTACCATCAGGGGAAAAAACGGTGATCCAATCTTCGACCCCCAGGAACAGGTTTGCAGATTTGCTGAGCATTTCCATGAGGTCCTGGGTGAGTGGAAATCCCTCAGCCTGGAAAACATCGTGGGTCAAAGTGGGGATGACCCTGCTGAGGCTGCGGTGAGTGGCTGGCTGATGTTCCATCTGTTGAGGAAGTACTGAAGGCGATCCAGAGTCTTGAGACCAGGAAAGGCACCGGGTAGAGATGATCTTCCAAGCGAAATTCTGGGGGAGGGTGGCGTTTGTGCACAGACTGCCCTACATGACAACATAATAACAGTCTGGACCACTTTACAGGTTCCACAGGATGGGAAGGATGGTCTGGTGGTCCCCCATTTTAAGAAGAGGGACCGCACAGACTGTAACAACTACAGGGGCATCTCACTCCTCAGTGTGCCAGGGAAGGTCCTGACAAGGATTATTCAACATCACCTTGCTAGGCATGCTGAGGAGAGGCTTGCGAAGCCCCAATTTGGTTTCAGGAAAGGGTGGTCCTGCTCAGATGCCATATTTTCTGTCCGTTTGGTACAGAAGAGGTATGGGGAATTCCAACAATATCTACATCTCTGCTTTATTGACCTGGTCAAGGCCTATGATACCATCAGTAGGCCTGGACTCTGGGTTGATTTTCGTGTTTTCGGAGTCCCTGACTCTTTGCTCACGATCATTAAGGACCTTCATGATGGTGAGCGGGCCTGGGTAAAACTACGTGGCCGGGAGTCGGAGCCATTCCCTGTTCACCTTGGGGAGCGACAGGGATGTCCTTTAGCTCCCACATTATTTAACATCTATTTTGACCATGTAGTTCGTGAAGCCTTCAATAGCTGTACCGGTAGGAATTTCCATTTGGTACAGATATAATAGGAGGCTGATCAATGCCCGAGTGCGGTCAAGGGATGGCTCCTTATTGCTCAACCATGTTATGTATGCCGATGATCTGGTAATCGCTGCTCACTCAGAGGAGGAGTTGGAGGAGCTGCTGCTAAACCTGGAGCTTGCCACTAAGAGGTGGGGCCTTACCATCAGCCCCACCAAAACTAAGCACCATCTAGGGTATTTTGTACCATTGGACACTCCACCCCCACAACTCCCAATTCGTGATGGGGCAGTTGTGGAGAAAGTGGAGAGTTTCCCATATCTGGGCAGTGTGCTCATGACCAGCTCCGGTTTAAGAGCAGAGGTCTCACTCCGAATCATTCGAGCGGCATTATCTTTTCATCGGTTGCGCAACGTTGTGTGGAAGCTACCTGGTCTGTCGCTCCACACGAAGCTTCAGGTCTTCTCGGCCACAGTCATTTCCTCCCTTCTTTACACTTGCAAAACGTGGACCCCCCTAATGGAACATCTTCGCCGGTTAGAAACATTTAGGCTGGCCTGCCTACGATCCATCCTGGGTTTAACCAGGCTTCGATTGTGTGAGGAGCTCACAAATCCTTGAAAGATCTGGACAAAGTCCCATCGGTGAGCTCCTCCGGCAAGCAAGGCTGCGTTGGCTGGGCCATGTAGCCCGCATGCCCAGTCACCGCATGCCTAAACAGCTTTTGTTCGGCCGGATCGAGGGGGCTAAACGGGCACTGCACGGGCTAGAGGAGAGATGGAGTTATGTGGTACAGGAGGATGTGCAGCTGAGTGGACTTGCTGATGACTGGTACCAGCGGTGTCAAGATCGGCCTCTGTGGAGCAGGCTCGTGAAGGACGCTACTGGGCAGTTGGAGGCAGTCACCCTCCAACAACAAGGCTGGGCGGATGAGCGACGCTCACAACAAGAAGCGGAGCGCCGGGTGGCTAAAGCACAGCAAGTTGGCACAGTAGGGGGCACAGGTGGTGCATCAGCCACTCATCTAAGTCAGTTGACCCGTGGTACCTGGGTCTGCCCCGTGACCTGCCAGCGGCCGTTCGACACTTCACGTGGCCTCAAGGTGCACAAGCATCGTTGTGATGTTACCGCCACTTAGTGGCGAATGGCGGTTGTTGTGTGTCTGAGTATGTGTCTGCGTGTCCGTGTGCCTGCGTGTGTGTCCTTGTGTCTGCGCCTGTGTCTGTGTGTCTGCCGGTGTCTGCGTGTGTGTCTGCATGTGTCACAGTGCCGGCAGCCTTCATGGGGTTGCTAATTTGCCAAAAACGTCAACTTGCCCCAACACGCAGGGTAGAGACATCATCACCAGCGCCACATTGATCTCCATCCAGCAGTGGATAGACCATGGTGGTGATGGTGATTACACTGAGAGACAGAGGAGACTGGAGTGGATTAGATCGCAGGATCGTGAGAGATACTGAACATTTGCATTGGCTGCATGTGATTCCTGTGTTGGTGAGTAATCTGTCTGTCATGTCCAATTAAATCAATTGATGGATTGTTTTTTGCCAGGTCCCAGCCAGAGAAGCCTTTAAAAGTCAAAGAAATGAACATCATGGTCATTTCCTTCTTCATATTGTGTTTGGGTAAGTAATGTACCCACATAAACCGAATATGGGCGACACGGTGGCTAGGAGATGTTAACTACCTCGCCTGGTATACAGGAGGTCGTGGGTTTGATCCTGACCCTGACGATGCCTGCTGCTGAATATTTGGAGGCTGAGTCTCTCTCTCTCTCTCCCATCATCATGGTGGCTAGGATTTTGCATCTCTCCCCATGGTGGTGTGGATTATTTTCCAGGTCCTCCTGTTTTCCCTACACATTTAGAATCAACATTACGCATTGAGAGTATTTGGCTGCTGCTATAAATTTCCACATGGTGATGATAAGCCACTTGGTTGAGCTATCATTTATGATGTCCAGGTCCCTTCTGAAAAAGAACTACACAGCTCAGTGGGCCTCACCGGGTGAGTGAGTGAATGATTGTATAGTATCATGTAAAATCACTTAGACGGACACCTTGTAACAGGTCACATGTTTATACTTTATAAACCTATTCTTGTACCAGTTGTAGGCACTCCTATCTTTGTCTATACGGTCACTTTTGTTAACCAAATTCCCCTATCTACTTTACACCTCGCTAACCTGCTTAGGGCAGCTCTTGCTCTCAGCAGCTCCGCACTCAAAGCTCCGCACTCAGCAGCCCTCACACAGAGGCTTGCACACAGCGGCGCTCACACAGAAACTTGCACACAGCTTCTCACACAGCACCCCTGTTCCACTGCTGCCCTCGCCTACACTCCCTCAGACCCACTCACTCGTCCGTCCCGGGCGGGGGGATCAACCATCACCCGCCCGGCGACTCATAAGGGTTGAGGTTCGTTCCTGGCTTGAGCGGCAACGGCGAGACGTCTTCTTTCTCTGGTCCCCAGCAACACAAACCCCGCTCTGCTCTCACGTCCGTCTTTTTATCCCCTTCCCAATTATCCGGCTCTTTAGGGTTGGCGCCTGTCAGGCCATTACTCACCCCTTATCGCACGTCTCCCTGGCAACACCTCCGGTGTCAGCTTGCAAACCCGGGCTGACCTGGTTTGCACCAGCTTCCCTTCCAAATTAGGTGGCGGTTCGTGCAGCCTAACGTTGCACATGTGCACGTGTTTGTCCTCGGTTGCCCTCGGACTACAGTGTGCGCCACGTATTTAACCACACTACGATTGTGTGAGTGTGATCGTGGGTGAGTGAGATGGTGGGTGAGTGGGTTGGTGGGTTAGTGAATGATTGAGTGGGTGAGTGAATGATGGAGTGGGTGAGTGAATGATTGAGTGGGTGGGTGAGATTGTGGGTGAGGTGGGTTGGCGGGTGAGTGAATGATTTAGTGGCTGAGTGAGATGGTGGGCGAGTGAGATGGTGGGTGAGTGAATGATTGAGTGGGTGTGTGAGATGGTGGGTGAGTGCGTGAGTGAAATGGTGGGTAAATGAATGATTGAGTGAGTGAATTATTGAGTGGGTGAGTGAGATGGTGGGTGAGTGGGTTGGCAGGTGAGTGAATTATTTAGTGGGTGAGATGTTGGGTGAGTGAGATGGTGGGCGAGTAAGATGGTGGATGAGTGAGATGGTGGGTGAGTGAATGATTGAGTGGGCAAGTGAATGATTGAGTGGGTGTGTGAGATGGTCGGTGAGTGAAATGGTGGGTGAGTGGTTTATTGAATAAGTGAGTGAGTGATTGAGTGGGTAAGTGAATGATTGAGTGGGTGAGTGAATGATAGCGTGTGTGAGTGAGATGATGGGTGAGTGGGTTGGTGGGTGAGTGAATGATTTAGTTGGTGAGTGAGATGGTAGGTGAGATGGTGAGTGAGTGAGATGGTGGGTGAGTGAATGATTAAGTGGGTGAGTGAATGATTGAGTGGGTAGGTGAGTGAGATTGTGGGTGAATTAATGATTAGGTAAGTGGGTGAATCTTGACTTAAAGCTTTCGTGACTGCAGGAATTCATATTCTTTGGGTCTTTCGGTAAAGTCACGTAGATAGGTTGAAAGAAAATAACAAAAAACTACGACGTTTCGATCACAACACAAGCGATCGTCATCAGGAGGAAAAACAAAGTAAAGCTGCTGAGGCAGACCGTTTTAATGGTTAAGAATGGGTGTGGCCCAAGGGCCATAAATAAAGTGGGCGGGGCTAGTGATGTTAATTTGAGAAATTAGCATGTTAATGTGAGATCGGTGGATGACGTGTTAGTGTGTAAAATTTCACCTGTTCATGTAAAATCAGATTTTACATTAACCGGTTAAATTTCTCACACTAACACAGCCGCCTCGCGCGCCGACGCGGCAGCAGCTCTGCAATCTTACATTAAAATACCTAAATTTCGGCTTCTCTGTTGTCCATTTTTGTGAGGATTTAACTGCGTACTAATTGTGCATTTGCCTCTTTGCAGTGTGCGTACACCCGCTTGAAGCAGTTAGAGTTACTCTGATGCCACATGGAAGCATCAGTGCTGGCAAGGTCTTGACTCTTACGTGTAACTTTACATCAGATGAAAAAACTAGTCCACAGACTTGGATGACCTGGAGTTTTGGAAATGCTGAGGTGAGCTGCCTGCTATGCAAGCTTTTGATTTCCCAACTAAGGACGAACGCATTGATCAGCTCCATCTCTCTGACCCACACGTTTGTCTTTCCCATCTTTCCGCCGTCGGTTAAAATACCTTTTGTCTTGCAGGTCTGCATATATATGAATAATAATTTCAGGCCAATCTCCAACGAAGCCTTCAAGCATCGAACGACCTGCAATGGTGACATCACGAGCAATTTTATCCAAATGTCAATATCTAACATTCAAGTTAACGACAGTGGAATATACAAGTGTGACGTCAGCAATTTCCCCGATAAAACACCAGGACAAGAATCCACCAATATTTATATTGGTAAGTATAATGTTTGGGTGTTTTTTGTCCTGTGCATGTCGGCTGCGCAGATTCGCGAGTAGGTTTTATGTGGCAGTGGCCTTTGTTGTAAAGTAAAATAATATATATAATACAAATAAACCCCTGCAGATTGACCACGCAAACTACAGGAAGGTCTCAAAGTACGCGGCGTGGGTTAGGTTCCGTGTACTCCCCGCACATGAGCGCAAATTCGTGTAAGTTGGGGTCCGCTTGTACTAGAGTATATCTACACTACTATATACTAACTAGGGGTTGTTCGGGGGCGCCTATGGCGCCCCCGAACAACCATTTACGGCCTTCGGCCAGGAAAGTCACAAAAAATTGCACACGAACGATGCATTCACGCAAGCACCCGATGCTCCGTTTTGAAGTTTTAAAATGAAACATCTTTGAATTGTACAATGTTTTGAATTAGATAATTTTATTTCTTCATTAAAAGCTTATATCATTTTACATCTGGAAGGCTTCATTGAAAACGACATCTCGTGTGAATTTTCTCTCATGGTTAAGTAGATGGCCTTGCTGAGGGTTCGTTTCGATGCAGACTTTTACCTGTTTGGGATTTCGGGATCGAGATAAGGCGACATAGAGCTGGCCATGCGAGAAAACCGCTGTCTGCAGATCGATGGCAACGTAATCGAACATCTGTCCCTGCGCCTCTGTCGTTCATGCAGGGGGCGCGTAAGTTTGCAGCACTCCCTGCATGAAAACGACGGAAAGTGTAGCATTCATCACGGATAGATGAAGTTGTGCGCTTATATAAGAGTATAGCTGCTGCCCCCCAACAATCTAGTATGTGTATAATTACTCTCTCTCCCCCCTTGCCCCTCCCCCCTTTCTTACCTTTATAACCTCTTACCACGGCAGCTCTTGTTCCCACTTCACCAAAAAAAAAAATTATTGCTGTGTGTTTGTTATATTATTTTACTTTCATAGTGGAAAAAGTCAGCACTGTACATGAGTGCTGTTCAAATGTACTGCTGGATGAAGGCCCACCACAGGCTGTGTGCGCTTGTCATGGTTGGAGGCGTGACGTTATTACACACGAACGCGGCTGAGGTGTTGTGAAAGAGAGCTGACATCACCGCCCATACCTGCGTGATGACGCGCGCGTCGGGGACGTCATCCCACCCGTGCCTGTTCGGGGGCGTACATGTTTGTGAGGGGCGCACCTCTGGTTGGCTGCTTGGTCCAGGTCACGTGACGCACTTCAACCAATCCATGCCACGTTAGTCACAGAATGACAGAATGACAGAATCACAGACCTGGGTGTTTATATATTACGATACTAGCTTAACTACCCGGCTTCGCCCGGGACTTGGATTCACCACACCTTTGTCTCCCCAATGGCGATGTGGGGGGGACGGGTGGGGGTGAGGGGAAATTTTCTTTCGCGTTCAAAATGCTATAAAAAACACAAAACGCTCAGGTCAATTCTTTACAGTGTGATGACCTCTTCTCCCCCCCGCCCCAATATGTGCAGTTGCTACTACAGAGTCCGTAGATATTAATATTATAGCGCTTAGATAGTATTATTGTAGCGCGGACAGGGGGATGGTGGGGGGGGTAGCAGCCCAGCCCCCAACCTGCCAAGAGGCCACCTCGGCCGGCTGGGCAATCTAGGTGAGGCCGGGGGCTCTGCACGGGACTAGGCCTCACCACAGCAATGTTAAGTATAATTTCCTTGCTTCTTTCGCTAAACTTACGTTGATGTAAACCTATTATTGAAATAATCACCTTGCAAATATTACATTAATAATGTTTGTTTGCAGGCAAATAATATTTCTATTCCTTGCTTCTTTCACTAAACTCACGTACATAGAAACCTGGTATTTTAATAATCACGTTGGAAATATTAAAATATTTATGTTTGTGCACTAACAACTAATATTTCTAAATTTATTCGGTCAATATTAATATTTTTATTATTGGGTCTAAGTCCTTGTGTGCGTGTGAGTCCATGTGCGTGTCTGACACCATGAGTATGTGTCTACGTCCGTGTGTGTGTGTGTATCAGTCGATGTGTATGCGAGTCGATGTGTGTGTGCATGAGTTGATATGTCTGTGTTCCAGTCGATGTGTGTGTCTTAGTTAATGTGTGTGCGTGGTGTGTGTGTGTGTGTGAATCGTGTGTGCGTATAAATCGATGTGTGTGAGTCGATGTATGTGTGTAAGTCCATGTGTGTGTGAATCGCTGTGTCTTTGTAAGTCGATATGTATGTGTGTATTTGCAGTGCGTAAGTCCATGTGTGTGTGTGAGTCCATTAGTGTGTGTGAGTCGATATGTGTGTGTGTCAGTCGATGTGTGTGTGTTAGTCAATGTGTGTGCGTGGTGTGTGTGTCCGTAGACAACTAAGATTTTAAAATTAAGTTAGTACATTTTTGAATATTTAGGTGTGTGTCTAAATCCATGTGTGCGTGTGATTTGATGTGCATGTCTGCGTCGATATGTGTGTGTGTGTGAGTCGATGTGTCTGTGTGTGTGAGTCGATCTTTGTGTGTGAGAGTACATGTGTGTGTGCGTGAGTCGATATGTGTGTGTCAGTCGATGTGTGTGTGTTAGTCAATGTGTGTGCGTGGTGTGTGTGTCTGTAGACAACTAAGATTTTAAAATTAAGTTAGTACATTTTTTTATATTTATATGTGTCTATGTCCATGTGTGCGTGTGATTTGATGTGCGTGTCTGCGTCGATGTGTGTGTATGAGTCGATGTGTGTGTGTTAGTCGATGCGTGTGCATGTCTCTATGTGAGTGTGTTAGTCCATTTGTTCGTGTGTGTGTGTAAGTCCATGTGTGTGTGTGAGTCGATGTGTGTGTGTGTGTAAGTGAAAAAAAATAGTGTGTGCATATAAATCGATGTGCGGGAGTCCATGTACAGTGAGGGAAAAAAGTATTTGATCCCCTGCTGATTTTGTACGTTTGCCCACTGACAACGAAATAATCAGTCTATAATTTTAATGGTAGGTTTATTTGAACGGTGAGAGACAGAATAACAACAATAAAATCCAGAAAAACGCATGTCAGAAATGGTATAAATTGATTTGCATTTTAATGAGGGAAATAAGTATTTGATCCCCTCTCAATCAGAAAGATTTCTGGCTGCCAGGTGTCTTTTATACAGGTAACGAGCTGAGATTAGGAGCACACTCTTAAAGGGAGTGCTCCTAATCTCAGCTTGTTACCTGTATAAAAGACACCTGTTCACAGAAGCAATCAATCAATCAGATTCCAAACTCTCCACCATGGCCAAGACCAAATAGCTCTCCAAGAATGTCAGGGACAAGATTGTAGACCTACACAAGGCTGGAATGGGCTACAAGACCATCGCCAAGCAGCTTGGTGAGAAGGTGAAAACAGTTTGCGATTATTCGCAAATGGAAGAAACACAAAAGAACTGTCAATCTCCCTCGGCCTGGGGCTCCATGCAAGATCTCACCTCGTGGAGTTGAAATGATCATGAGAACGGTGAGGAATCAGCCCAGAACTACACAGGAGGATCTTGTCAATGATCTCAAGGCAGCTGGGACCATAGTCACCAAGAACACAATTGGTAACACACTACGCCGTGAAGGACTGAAATCCTGCAGTGCCCGCAAGGTTCCCCTGCTCAAGAAAGCACATATACATGCCCGTCTGAAGTTTGCCAATGAACATCTGAATGATTCAGAGGACAACTGGGTGAAAGTGTTGTGGCCAGATGAGACTAAAATTGAGCTCTTTGGCATCAACTCAACTCACCGTGTTTGGAGGATGAGGAATGCTGCCTATGACCCCAAGAACACCATCCCCACCGTCAAACATGGAGGTGGAAACATTATGCTTTGGGGGTGTTTTTCTGCTAAGGGGACAGGACAACTTCACCGCATCAAAGGGACGATGAACGGGGCCATGTACTGTCAAATCTTGGGTGAGAACCTCCTTCCCTCAGCCAGGGCATTGAAAATGGATCGTGGATGGGTATTCCAGCATGACAATGACCCAAAACACACGGCCAAGGCATCAAAAGAGTGGCTCAAGAAGAAGCACATTAAGATCCTGGAGTGACCTAGCCAGTATCCAGACCTTAATCCCATAGAAAATCTGTGGAGGGAGCTGAAGGTTCGAGTTGCCAAACGTCAGCCTCGAAACCTTAATGACTTGGAGAAGATTTGCAAAGAGGAGTGGGACAAAATCCCTACTGTGATGTGTGCAAACCTGGTGGCCAACTACAAGAAACGTCTGACCTCTGTGATTGCCAACAAGGGTTTTGCCACCAAGTACTAAGTCATGTTTTGTAAAGGGGTCAAATACTTATTTCCCTCATTAAAATGCAAATAAATGTATAACATTTTTGACATGCGTTTTTCTGGATTTTGTTGTTGTTATTCTGTCTCTCACTGTTTTTGTCAGTGGGCAAACCTACAAAATCAGCAGGGGATCAAATACTTTTTTCCCTCACTGTATATGTGTGTGAAAGTCCATGTGTGTGTGAGTCGCTATGTGTGTTTGTAAGTCGATGTGTGTGTGTGAGTCGATGTATGAGTGTAAGTCGATGTGTCTGTGTGTGTTAGTCGGTGTGTGTGCATGTCTCCATGTGAGTTTGTAAGTCCATTTCTTCGTGTGTGTGTAAGTCTATGTGTGTGTGTGAGTTGATGTGTGTGTGTGTAAGTGAAAACAAATAGTGTGTGCGTATAAATCGATGTGTGTGAGTCAATATACGTGTGTGTGAAAGTCAATGTGTGTGTGTGAGTCGCTATGTGTGTTTGTAAGTCGATGTGTGTGTGTGGGTCGATGTGTGTCTGTAAGTCAGTGTGTCTGTGTGTGTACGTCGATGTGTGTGTGAGTCGATGTGTGTGTGTGTGTGAGTCCATGTGTGTTTGTAAGTCGATATGTGTGTGTGTCAGTCGATGTGTGTGTGTTGGTCAATGTGTGTGCGTGGTGTGTGTGTGTGTGCGCAGACAACTAATATTTTAAAATGAAGTTAGTAAAATTTAAAATAA